GCGATTGTTATGCCAGAGTGAGTGATAGAGATGCCTATGCCACTGCTATAGGGAAAAAAGTGAGGAAAATCGATGAAAAAAAAAGGGAAAAACGAGGATTGAGTTTTAATCTTACAAATAGAATGAGAAATTCATACAAAACTTTTGATTTTAAGAAAATTAAAGTAGAAAGAAGCATGAAATTTCAGTTAACCTCTCAAAATTGAGACCATTACCTTGAGTTGTGGAAAAATGTTAGTGAGAAGTGGCGAGCTTTTGAGGTTTTGTTATATTTGTATTTTATTTCAGCCAAAAAAAATGAGCAAACAAAAAAAAAGTGTGGGAAATGTTAGCGCTAATTTTTTTCAGATGGCGGAGGTTTTGAGCCGCCGCTATGTACTTATATTGTGTCGGTTAACTAACCCCCCGTTATTTAATAAAATTTGCGGGGGTTGGGACTGATCCCCGCTATTAAACCACCGCAATTTAGGCCTTTTTTTGTAGTGACCGCATAAGCTATATCAGGTCTAGTAAACGTCAAGTATTGTAAAGCTCCAACAGTACTCCTATATAGAGTTTGATCAGGAAATGGAGAACCACCAGCAGTGGAAAGCTTGGATGATGATGAAGCTGGTGTGGAGACAGGACCACACAACCCCATTCGCACACGATTAAGGAGGTCTGTGGCATACTTACCTTGTGACAAATGCAATCCTTCACGTGTCCAGTTAGCTTGAATACCCAAGAAATAAGACAATTTTCCCAAATCTCTAACAGCAAATTGGGTTTGCAATTTGGAAATGAGAGCTGCAATATGAGCAGAGTTAGAACCCAAAACCAGAATGTCATCGACATATACTAAACAGAATAATTTCTCGTCGGCATTCGTCATATAGAAGAGAGAACTATCAGTTTTTGATCCCACCAAGCCTAGAGAAAGAAGCACATCAGCTAAACGTTTATTCCACATGCGTGGAGCTTGTTTGAGTCCGTAGAGAGATCGTTTAAGTAAACAAACATGATCTGGACGAGTAGGATCAACAAACCCGGGAGGTTGAGACATATGTACAGTCTCATCTAAGTACCCATGAAGAAACGCATTGGAAATATCTAGCTGAGTGATGTACCATTTGTGAGACACCGCCAAGGATAGTGTATAGGGTCAAATTTGACCGTCAGCGTCTCTACGCCAATGGGTACGCCCAGTGAGTGTACGCCGACTAACGTAGTGGGTACGACTCGGACGTGGGGACAAAAGCGGCATCGTTTAGGACTCAGTGTCTTCACTAGGGAGACGTTACCTATTTTTGTAACTTTTTGATTATTTCGAGGAAGGTCTCTTATTATATAAGGGAGACCTTCACATTGTAAAGAAGAGGATTCTGGAATAATACAACTCTCTTATTTTCTGACTTTCTCTCTCTATCTCTGCCTCAAACGAACATATTCTCTTGAGTTCATATTATCACTTTGCAATACTAGATCTACAACAATAACATCATCTTTACATCTCTAGGTCTATTATATTTGATTACGATTTACCCTTTTCTTACTTTTGATTGTTTTCTAGCTTACAAAGTATATTGTTAACTTTTGAGCCAAACAATTTGGCACCGTCTTGGGAATTTCGAGAATCAAAATCATAGTATCCACCTAGAGAACAACCAACTACCATTCTCTACACCACACAAACACAAAAGATGGCTGAGAATAACACAAGATCGAAAGCTATATTGGGTGTCACTACCAATCTCCTTGGCCCTCTCAACGAGGCCAGTGACGATGGCATCCTGAATGCAACCCCTAGCATCACATCGGGTGCGGAGATCTCACCTTCCCCATCCGAAGATCTGACGATCTTGCACGAAAAAGGAGCTTCCACATCTGCGGCTACGGAAGCACCCCCAGCGGTCAAGAAGCTACTGGAAAGATGGCTAACAAGCACTCTGAGTGGCTTGGTTGAGAGGTCACCACAAAGTAACATCAGGTGTACACCAACGGTAGATACCACTGCTGCCGTGGGCGAACCGGAAGTTGCACTAGCAAATAACGAACCCGTCGAGACACAGACCAACGATGGCACGCTAACAGCCATCCTAAAGAAGATGGAAGAAATGGAAAATGAAAACAAGGCGCTCCGCGATCAGATGAAGGAACATCAGGAGAGGGTCGACAAGATCCCCGGTGCTCCCAAGTTGCTACCAAAACGTGACGTGGGAAGGTTCGTTGAACAACCATACACTGAAGAAGCTGCCCCTCACTCCACCCCAAAAACCTTCAAGATGCCACCCTACTTGAGGGTATATGACGGAACCACAGATCCCGAGGATCCACTACGTCACCGCTGTGAAGGGCAACGACCTATCGAAAGAACAGGTACCGTCGGTACTGCCGAAGAAGTTTGGCGAGACGTTGACAGAAGGGGCCTTAACATGGTACTCTCAGCTACCGGCTAAGGCAATA